CTGGTGGTCTGGTTAACATGGACTGTGATCACAGTGTCTGCTGCCTATGTAATCTACTCTCTGCTGCAACAGGGGCGGTGGGGTAGCCTGATGGTTAAAGCGTTGGCTTGTCATGCCGAAGACCCGGGTTCGAATCCCCACATGGGGAAGCCCATTTCTGGTGTCCCCCGCCGTGATGTTGCTGGAATATTGCTAAAAGCGGCGTAAAACCAAACTCAGTCAGTCAGTCTGCTGCAACAGGAGTCACGTCTTCTCCATTGCAGGTCGACCAAGTCAGCAGAATTTAGAGCTTTTCTCAAAATCATGACATTCCCAGAAAATGTAATAAAACTGTTCCATTTGATCCCTGTTGATCTTATTTCCAGATATTTTTTTTCCTAAAGGTTCAAAATATACTGTTCAGTATGTGTATGGTAATTGTGGATTACCTCGTCCTGCCTCACTTCACTTCACCTCACCCTGCCTTGCCTCACCTTGCCCTGCCTCACTTCACCTTGTACATGTCTTGCCTCACCTCACCTCAGCCCGGTGATAATGACCATTGCTCATGTACAAAGTGGCTGCGATTGTCTAGGAGTGGTTATAAACAACTGTTACATTGATTTCATGACACGGCTGCTGTAATGCTGTGTAGTAAGTTCTGTTGGAAACCTTTCAGTTGACATTGGCTAAGTAAGATAGGATTACAGTAGCTTGGGGGGCCTGACAGACCGTTATCTTTAAGGAAGTGATTGTGCTTTTGTGTAGTTTCACATGTCTGTATGTGGGAGTAAGTGTGTTCACCATTTGTGACCATTTGAGATGGTATGTTTAAACCTCAGATAAACGATGTATCAGCACATTTACTTTTTATATTAGATCTTTCTGTGTAATCAGATCTGTTTGTTCATGATGTATGTTATTAATCACCACTCTCAACAATATTCCAGCTACATAATGACTGTTTCTTGATATTCAAGTCAGTAACATGAGCATTGATCTAAGCAAGTAGAATAAAATGCCATGCTACATAGTCCAAAGGACATGGTTACATGGCAGCCATCATTACTGAAGGAAACACATTTCCTAGGAGGATGAAGAAATTTGTACTTACATTAACGTCACTGTATTAACACTTACAAAGAATAGAAGGAAAGCAGAGAGCATCTATGGTAAAAATAAAGTATCTACTATTACGCATCATCTCAGACATGAATGTAAACACCATGAGTTGCATCAATCTGAATAATTCATGTGAGTGTTGTTTGTGTTGAGGAAGTGTCCGATGCTGTTATGGCGATATGAAAGTTTGGCGTCATCATTATATAAAGATCTATAATGAGTTCTGCTGAGCAAATATGACAATATACAGCTGACAACTGCCAGTCATCCAGAACCATAAAGCATAGGGAAGCTGTACATGAAATGCATGATCTTTGTAAGTCACAACTGTATTAGCTTTCAGCAGTGCTACGTTAATTACATGGATGTGGAATAGGGCTCAACTTGATCACACGTAATGGCTGTCAGTTATCTATTCCTGATACCTGCGTACGTCAATCCTGACATTCACACTCATTAAAATCACCCGAAATTGCATCTGCACTTGTGTAGAAGTGCGTAAGTCCCGTGCAGAACTGTAGCCTCTCCCAGGGCCTAAACGCTTCCATGCCACACCAGAATGGATCAATACTTGGCCACATCGCTCAGATATGTCTGTGTTACAGAGCGTCACAACTTTATGCAGCTTCCTAATGTCTTTGCTGGAAATAAAGTCAAGGACGTCGACAAAGAGCCAACTTCATTTTCAGAAGCACTGCAGAATATTCAAGCTTTTTACATTGAAATTAAACGCAAGTAAACACACAAACACATCAGTCAAATTCCTTTACTTAATGCAACAATTGGAGGGGCCTGTCCTCCTGATCGCTGCAGGTTTGCAGGCTATGTTTGACATAGCAATTGTCACATACAAAGGCTGAGGCTCATGCTGTCAATCAATGTAGTGTCTGGCACAGACTTGGTTTGAACATATTTATTGCATGAAAAGTACATGGACTGGATTGGTCAACAAGCTCAAAAGAAGACCGCTCCAGTATAGAAAGATCTATGAACCATTATGACTAGGAAAACATTATTATATCAAATGAAAATTGATGTTATGACATGTAGTCAAAAGATTGAGAAAAGTTGTGACATGTAGTCAAAAGATTGGCCCAGATTCGATATAACCACCATGATATGGCTGGAATATTGCTGACAGCAGTGTAAAACAAACTTAAATAGAATCACATTGCAATTGGTGAACCCCAAATGAAGTATTCCAGAGTATATACTATTAGCCAAAAAATTGTCATTTTCTGATAACGATTATAAGTCTTATGGAAGCATTCGCTTTGTATTTCCTACAAATGTCCACAACTTCATCAGACCACCCATCTGACGTGATGGAGGTCATACTATGGAACAAGTGTTTGGTTTGCTTCAACTCATCAGAGGGCTATCCCATTCCAACAAAGACAGAGAAACAGGGCAATCTCGCTCGACAAAAGCCCAAAATGGCATAATTACATTCCATCAATACAGCACACGCTGACCACTGATGTTCCTGATAACCAAAGGGAATATCGTGGCCAATTTCCCAATTACTACACAACGGTAATTGGGAATGATAATACACTCTCTTTAGGTCGTTTTACGATAAAGCTTGTCGTCCATGGGTTTCTTTGAAAGTTTGATTGGCGTAAATGGTACCCAACTGGAAGTGATTTCTTTTTCGGGTTGTGTTTTCACATTGACGAAGATGCCTGCCTTGCAGTGCCGATTATCAATCAGCGTTAGATTCAATAGGATGGCACGCAGTGTGATCACTAGATTTCTGCCATAATTATGCATGTTGCAATTTTCTTTGATGTTCAAAGTATGGATTGAAGAGAAAATTCTCATTCCACGTGTGAAGTTTTATGGTTTAATTTGAACTGGTTTGACATTTACATTTCCTTATTGTTATCATAATTTGATCAGTTTAATTTCCAACATATTTTAGTGAATTGAAATGACCTTGTGGATTTATATCTTCAAGGTCACAAGTGATTGATATTCTGTCGCTTCTTAAGTCTAATACATGTTTCAGATTTGCCCAATACAAATCAAATTAAGATGTAGGGGATATTGTGTTTTTTATAATGGGTGATTTGTTGTATGTTTTTGCTGTAAAATATTTCCGTCCATTATAAAGTTAAATAAAGATAATCAGTAATCATTTATAGTTGCTTCAGAAAAACTGATTTTCCAAGCATTGAAACTGTTTATGTTGTAGCTTATCTTAGCAAAAATATGTGGAATCAAGATTAGGGTTATGTAAGAGGCATCTTAAAATGTGAATAATATCTTTATGCATTTATTCAAATTACAAATGAGTAGAATCAATTCCAACATTGTGATTCTAGCATCCCTACTTCCCCATGATGCTCTGCTTCATCCCTACTTCTCCCATGATGCTCAGCTTCATGCCTACATGTGTGTCCTCCACAGCTTGGAGTCTGCGCTGCATCTCAGCCAATGATGATATTGACAGTTTTGAGTCCTCTCAATTGCTCCACGTGTTGATGGGAAATAAATTTACAATATTAATTGATTTGTCCTTACTGGAGCACCACAAATGACCATTGATTTCAGATTTGTTGCTGGAAACATGTTCGAGATAGATTTGAAGTACACGCTTTAAAGAATAGTCCAATCCTTAAAAAAATTAATGAAAAGTTAGAAGAAGAATTCTTAAGATTGACAATAATCTAAAGATTAGGTAAATTTCTTCTCGTCTAATGCTTCTGTGGGTGTTGCTATCACTGTGTTGATCTTTGCGCTGCTGTCTCAATGAATTAGGGTGCTCTGTCTTGTTTGATAAACAACTTCAAGTCATTACACGATGTTTATACCAAGTCCGTTTTCCTGTGTCATGCAGAGGATCAGCTTTTAATGTTTGTTATGCTTTCTTGCATCAGTAACATTATAGCAGTCACAAGTCATTACCTTTCTCAACACTGAAACATGACATTTCATCATATTGACTCGTATTCAATGGCAGACAACTCTGAACATGTGTGATCTACTAAGACATTTGACAATGTTTCAGGAACAGTGCCCTTGGTTTGCACCTCTTCCCTTAGACATTTGTATTTGTTCACATGCTTTGCCCCACCAATGGTGACCCCTGAATTTGTCCAAGAGGTTCAAATCCAGTTTTCAGTTTGGCAGACACGGCAACCATATTGAAGAAAAAACAACTATGCCCTTTACTAGGGGTGAAACGGTATACCGCAGTTCTAATACTATACCTTCGATTCGGTTATACCATAATGCAATCCACACAGTCAGTATATTCGGTTTTCGCACCGTCATTTTGTTAAACTTTTTAAATCTAAAAAAAAATGTCTAGAAATCGAAACATTTTGTCAAAATCTATCTAGGTTTGGCTGTTATTGTCGATTTTCTGCATTATGATCATATCTCGTGTATCGAACCGAAACGGACCAAACCAAGGCCTTGTACCGCAATATGTACCGTACCGTGGTAGGAACATTATGTACCATACCGTGGTAGGAGCAATATGTACCGTACCGTGGTAGGAGCAATATGTACCGTACCGTGGTAGGAGCAATATGTACCGTACCGTGGTAGGAGCAATATGTACCGTACTGTGGTAGGAGCAATATGTACCATACCGTGGTAGGAGCAATATGTACCGTACCGTGGTAGGAGCAATATGTACCATACCGTGGTAGGAGCACACCGTTTCACCCCTACCATTTACTTGGTCCAATTTTCAATGTGGCTACCATTTGTTGTGCTGTTGTTTTTTTAACAATTTTTATATTTTAATCGTACTCTTAAATTCTCTCAAATGGCTTGTTTGACCTTAAAATTTCTTTCTCACAGACTAAAGGAGCTGAACTTTAACATTAGTTGTTTGTGCAGATAGTATTAAAATGTCAATGCTGATAGTATAAGTTCTGTTTCAGATCCTCCACATGCACATGGGAAATGTGGAGAAGATGCCAATCACAACCGGAGGCTCACCCATCCAGATACGCTGCAAAAACTTCATGAGCATCATCTTCGTCATCCCCCGTGAGCGTGACTGTCATGATATCTTCACTTCCCTTCAGGAGCTGTCAAGGCCAGGTGAGTCAGGCGGTGGTTTAGGCAATACTGCTGGAGATCATTGCTTTTGTCAGTCTGTCACGTTTCTGCAGGAGATAGATGGTCACTGCTATCTTCAGTCTGTCATGTTTCTGCAGGAGATAGATGGTCACTGCTTTTGTTCAGTCTGTCATGTTTCTGCAGGAGATAGATGGTCACTGCTATCTTCAGTCTGTCATGTTTCTGCAGGAGATAGACAGTCACTGCTTTTGTTCAGTCTGTCACGTTTCTGCAGGAGATAGATGGTCACTGCTATCTTCAGTCTGTCATGTTTCTGCAGGAGATAGATGGTCACTGCTTTTGTTCAGTCTGTCATGTTTCTGCAGGAGATAGATGGTCACTGCTATCTTCAGTCTGTCATGTTTCTGCAGGAGATAGACAGTCACTGCTTTTGTTCAGTCTGTCATGTTTCTGCAGGAGATAGATGGTCACTGCTATCTTCAGTCTGTCATGTTTCTGCAGGAGATAGATGGTCACTGCTTTTGTTCAGTCTGTCATGTTCTGCAGGAGATAGATGGTCACTGCTTTGTTCATTCTGTCATGTTTCTGCAGGAGATAGACAGTCACTGCTTTGTTCAGTCTGTCATGTTTCTGCAGCTGATACAAAGTCATTGCTTTGTTCAGTCTGTCACGTTTCTGCAGGAGATAGATGGTCACTGCTTTGTTCAGTCTGTCATGTTTCTGCAGCTGATACACAGTCATTGCTTTGTTCAGTCTGTCACGTTTCTGCAGGAGATAGATGGTCACTGCTTTGTTCAGTCTGTCATGTTTCTGCAGCTGATACACAGTCATTGCTTTGTTCAGTCTGTCACGTTTCTGCAGGAGATAGACAGTCACTGCTTTGTTCAGTCTGTCACGTTTCTGCAGCTGATAGACAGTCATTGCTTTGTTCAGTCTGTCACAATCCTGCAGGAGATAGACAGTCACTGCTTTGTTCAGTCTGTCACAATCCTGCAGGAGATAGACAGTCACTGCTTTGTTCAGTCTGTCACAATCCTGCAGGAGATAGACAGTCACTGCTTTGATTGTTTTGTCACAGTCCTCCATATAAGGTCACTTCACAACTTTTTTAATCAAACGGAAGTTCTGGAGAGAAAAATCAGATCAGTAAATAGAGTGGACTTAGTTTGATTGAGTGGACTTCCGTTTGATTTCCCAGTTAGACACATCTAATCTATCATGCTCACTTCGACAGTCGTAACTCCTGTACTTTAACATTGTCTAACGGCAGTTGTAGCGTTACGATTGCTTTGCTCAGTGGGCCCAAGGGACAAGAGCAGGTGTAAATCAGGTCCTGCTCTATCTAGGATCTGCAGGTAATTGTTGCCCCTTTGGTAATCCATAGTATTTGCAGTTGGGTGTTCATTAAAACATTTGCGTCTGCTGTTGTTATCCTTGCAATACACTGAGCAGCTGGCAAAGCATCTCTGGAGTGTGCTCCACCCTCCTCCTCCTTCGTCTCCACTGACTGATGTGCCTTCCCTGACACTGTCCAGAACTGTCACGTGTGACTGCCCAAGTCGGTAACACTGATTGATAGACTCAGATGGAATTGCTTGTCAGATTATACCAGGAAAAAGTTCATATAAATGTGGGTCATGTCGTGCCAGTGGTGCTTTACTTGTTGTTTGTGTCTTGAATGAGATGTGGCCAGTAACGAGGGATGTTTTAAGATGACTGTCATACAGAGGTTGTATGTTTTGGATTGGGGAATTAGGTTCGGTTATTTGAGTGTTGAGGTCCCGGTAGTATCTTTAACTCTGTTTGAGGGTGAGTGTTGAGAGATCAAATTGTTAAAATCAAACAAACCTTTAGAGGGTTTAAATATTCCTGATCATGTAGTCAAAACAGATTACACTCAGTTCAACTGATTGTATAGTACTCATCCCTCCCCAAAAACAGTGGTGCATTTATTTTCTGCAGCTTAGCTCATAAACCACTCCATATTTGTATCTGTAACTTTGCCATCAGGAAATGAATGCATGCTCTTAGCTATTCTGGAATTTTGAAATTTTAAATAATTTGCAATATTTTCACAGAGAAAAAACAAATTCATGGTTAGCCAAGAACAGGGTTAATATTTTCGTCAGACAAAAAAACATTCAGTAACTCTTCACAAATTCAGGGAAGTGCTGATCTGTACCAGTTACCTGACATCAATGGTTACGTTTGTTTTGTTAGTTTTTCCAATGCAACAGCTTGAGGGTTTGTTTCTGATGCTCTGATCCTTAGGCTTATCTATGTCTTTTCAAGGATCAGCTAATAACAGCCATATGTTTTCCATGAGGTTCAGTTTGTGTCCTATTGTGTGTCCCTTGTACACAGTGTATTTTGGGTTGCAGCTAACATAGAGAAACTGTATGCATTCCACTTCCTGGTGTCGGACAATACGACCAAGTCATATGGCTGGGACCTGTATGATATACAGACAGAGTACCTACGTATGGGGGTGCCCAATGAGAACTGGTCCCTCACCAGCCTCAACAAGGAGTATGAAGTAAGTGGTGGGACATTGTCTGCATAATGTACTGTTGTCTATACATTGTTACTTTGTGTTATGAAATATTGTCTGTATGATGAAACATTCTAAATTTAACAACATGACTTGTATATATACTTTATCTCCTTCATGCATCCTTACCATTGCAAGATTATCTCAAACTAGATTGTTATGTCTCATTTTCTCTCATACATTCCTTCTGTGTGATACATGGTCTTATGCTAGAGCGGTGTGATACATAGTGTTATTATCTGTGTTATACTAGGTCTTTTGCTCCATGTGTGTGATATATGGTCTTATACTACAGGTGTGTGATACATGGTCTTATACTACAGGTGTGTGATACATGGTGTTATATTCTAACTCTGCTATACATGGTCTCTTCATTCCAGTTGTGTGATACATATCCCAGCCTGATGTATGTTCCTGCCTGTGCTGCCACACCGGTGTTGGTCGGCAGCTCCAAGTTCCGGAGTCGTGGACGTCTCCCAGTACTCTCGTACTTACACAGGGAAAATCAGGTGAGTCTGCCACACATCACATGGATCCACTTCAGTTATACACACACTGATATCACTTGAATCTGTTATTGTACTATTGCAGTCATATGTAATGTTTCTAAACATGGCTGCCAAAGTAGCCATATTGAAAACATTATTTGAAGGTCCGTTTGTCCCTGTTCAACCATAATGAACCATGAATAGGTCTGACATTGAAGATAGCGGTAAGGTGCTCAGCCACTGTTGCAGGAGCTTCAGGCTGAACTTCACTTACCTCCACCTTTTTAATGCCGTCCAACCCATCTCAGACACTTTGGTGAAATTACTTGGAGAGGATTCCGTTCAATAGTCTCTCCGTGATCAATTATAAATTGATTGTTGTTAGTTCATCTCAGACTTGGCAGTAATCACTTGCAATGTACACACAGCTGGAACTGTCCACACTATCTGTAATATACCAATTACGTCTTCTGGTGATTAAACAAAGATGTACAACAGAATCAATACTTTCTCTGTACATGGAAGAGCGGTGTTGGCATGTGTCGGTAGGAAGGTGTCCTTCAGAGCTGGGATCCGGTATCTATGTGTCTTAAGTTGGGAAGAGTTTTGAAGATGTGGCAAGAGACTTACACTTTATGAGTAGCTTGTGAATACCTGGGTTTTATTCCAAACATGTTGACATTATGTGAAGTCATTGTTTGTGTTCCTGATGTTACTTACCATAGAATAGGACCCTTCCAGTGACCAAGACATCTGGTGGCATGGTTCCATGATGTAATTGATTGCATGTCATCGTGCCTTGAGGTTTCAAAAACTATCAATAACAGGATTGTCTAGTTCAGACTAAGCACCTACAGTCTTCCATCATATTGCCAGAATATTGCTAAGTGGGGTGTTACAAACCAGCAGCAACAACAACATGGTGGTGGTATTACTAAGAACAGCCTATTATAGCTTCAGCCCTATAAACCTTTTGAAGAATGAGGACTAATTTTATGGACATGCAAGTTCTTTATTCTGTATAGGCAACTTTTTGACAATGACATTAGAATCTATGTCGAAACATCGCCTATGCAGAATAAAAAACTTGTATTTCCATGAAACTAGTCGTCATTGTTCATCTACCCAACTTCTAGAATGCCAATCAAAGAAGCTATAAGCCTTTTGTTGAACATACTGCTGACTGATATACGGACTGCAGCTGACTGGACTGGTCATTTCTCTGATAGAAAAGAAACACCAGAACTTGTACAGATTACAAAAAAAAAGTTATTTATGAAGTTTTAATATAAACACATTTGGAGAAAACCATTAGGGACTAATAGGGAGCTTAATTCAACAAAGTACACATTTAATACACACAGTAGACATTTCATACACCTGATTTGAGCTAAGTGCGTAGAAAGATATCACAAAATGATCAGTGAGCAGATCAGGATTACTTTGTCTGGTTATGATTAATAATCGTTCTTGAAACTATTTCAAATGTTACATGCATTGTAATCATCACTCGTGCATTGTTCATGCCGTCTCTTGCAGGAATGGACACTATATGATAAAATATTAAAATTTTAACTCCCTCACTCTTGTGGGAATGTTATTTACTAAGCGATGTGGCAGATATTAGATGACTGTCATACACTTACGAGCGTCCATTTCTGTGTAGAAGAAGCAGGTAATGCCACATTGCTGTATCAGTATTAACATCAGCCACTTGGGAATAATGGTGTAGTGATCAAAGCAGAATGTTGGTGCTATCTTGGTGGATGGGGCAGGAAACAGAGGCCCCATGAGATAGTTGGATGGTATTTAAAAGCCTTGTACACACTAAGATTATCACAGAATCTGACTGTAAACACTACAATGCCAAGTAAAATAGAATCAATATTGGAATTACTGCAGGGTAGGATGTCAGTGGTAGAGGAGGTCAGGAACAGGATGACTTTGCTACACTTTGTGGCCTTGATGCAAACACACAGACCTCATTTGTGAAGTGTTACTGTAGGTCATTAGGCTATATATAGACATAACTGATATAGAACAGAAGCAAGGCTTCAGCCTTGGCTTAGCATCTGTTACACTATGGGACATGTTGAGCCAATCATGTCTGCCATTGTAAGTCATTTCTCTAAGCATCTGTCAATATCTGCAGGTTTGAGTGAGAGAGAAACTTGACAATTGCTGATCAGTTTATTCATGTTCCCCCATTTGGGTAATAACAGTCTGTGCTGTATACTTGGTGGATAATGCTTGGCTGTCCAGTGGAAGCAATGCTTGTATCAAATAGACATGGATGGCAGATGGAAGGACCCTTTTGTAGCTGTGGACTGACGCTTTTGTTCATCCACACTAAACACTATAGAAGTAAAACTCAACAGCTTGTCACATTCAGACAACGCCACAGTTCTATAGAATGTATAACCGCACATGACATTGTTGGTAATAAAATACCCCCTTGAAGAAGTTAGAATTGGACTTTAGCAACCCATACTTGTCTCTCTAGTGAAAAACTGGGTTAGAATTGAACTTCAGCAACCAATACCTGTCTCCTAGTGAAGAAATGGGTTAGAATTTGACTTCAACAACCCATACTTGTATCCCTCGTGAAGAACAGGGTTAGAATCAGACTTCAACAACCAATACTTGTCTCCCTAGTGATGACCTGGGTTAGAATTGGACTTCAACAACCAATACTTGTATCCCTAGTGATGACCTGGGTTAGAATTGGACTTTAACAACCCATACTTGTCTCCCTAGTGCTGACCTGGGTTAGAATTGGACTTAGCAACCCACACTTGTCTCCCTAGTGAAGAACTGGGTTAGAATCAGACTTAGCGACCCACACTTGTCTCCCAAGTGAAGAACTGGGTTAGAATTGAACTTCAACAACCCACACTTGTATCCCTAGTGAAGAACTGGGTTAGAATTGGACTTAGCGACCCACACTTGTCTCCCTAGTGAAGAACTGGGTTAGAATCGGACTTAGCAACCCACACTTGTATCCCTAGTGAAGAACTGGGTTAGAATTGGACTTAGCGACCCACACTTGTATCCCTAGTGAAGAACTGGGTTAGAATCGGACTTAGCGACCCACACTTGTCTCCCTAGTGAAGAACTGGGTTAGAATCGGACTTAGCGACCCACACTTGTCTCCCTAGTGAAGAACTGGGTTAGAATCGGACTTAGCGACCCACTCTTGTCTCCCAAGTGAATATAAAGCTAATATAAAGGCAACATTCAAACCACACCACCCTTCAGTAGGATGAACCACACCACACATTACAGCTAGGTAATATATATACCACATTCAAACCCTAGCGCACACTATTGATCCATGGAAAGGTTTTCACAGCTCTCTGGATGGTGTCTTTGATTCAGGAGTCTACAAGGCAGATATTCTCGGAGGGCAATATTCAGCATAAAAGCCAGACTAAAGAGGATTAAAACTTGCCAGAATGCATATTTAATAGCATCTAAGTGTTCAGCTTGAAGTAATCCTATTCCAGTGTATGATCAAAGTTGTGGGTAGGAACAGACCTATTAAATATGAACACATGACAAGCCATGGCAGACATCACTGATGAGGCCAATGTCCAAAGGCTTCATCTGTCATACAACGGGCTTCATATCTGTCATATAACTGGCTTCATCAAACGCCTCTATCAACCACTGAATACCGTGCTCACAAGGAGCAAATATTTTATGGCTAATCCAGGTTTTAATTAATTCCAGATTATAATGGTATGGCATATGCTTTGTTCCCTGTGATTAAAATGACAGTGAAAGATGCTTAGAGCAGAACATTATTTCATGGGTATGATTTGCTTTCAGCATCTGTGTTAGTACATGTTTTGATGATCTATAGGACTGACTGACTGACTGAGTTTAGTTTAACGCCGCTTTTAGCAATATTCCAGCAACATCATGGCGGGGGACACCAGAATGATCTATAGGAAGGCACAGGAAACAAGCATGTAGTTTATTATTTTAAATATGAGATGTTTTATCCTCAGTTCTCAGTGAATGTGTGTTTATGAGATTTACACATGATTGTCAGGCATTAATAAAATAGAGTGTTATGATCTTTTTCTCAAATAGTTATTGCTCAAAACAAAATCTTGGCCATTCTATAAGAGCCTAAACATGTCATGTATTTCTGAGATAGCATTGATAGCGTGCCTCTCCTTAATGTATTAGCAAGCACAGTGTTATGAGACATGTGCAGCTTGGTGATAACGCAATATGAGCTTAAATCTGTATTGTTTCAGGCAGGAATTACACGCTGCAGTCAACCGTTGGCAGGATTCAGCGCTCGCTGTGTGGAGGATGAACAGATGCTGCAAGCCATACTTAGAGCCAACCCGAAATCTAAATACATGTATGTGGTGGACACAAGGCCCAAGGTCAGTATAGGAGGGCACAGCATGCTGGTACTTCAAGTGCTGTCTTTATATTAAGTCATCACTGTGATGCTGTCAGTGATATCTTTAATGAAGGGTTGTGGGGTTGATTATTGGTTGAAGAGTTGCCGTACCGACGCCACAGGTTTCAGTTCCAGCATGAGTAACATTTGTGAAAACACCCTCTGTCCATAACATTACTAACAACAGCATAGAAGTTCACTTGCTCACCCACCCACTGAGCCACCCACCCATCCACTATTTTGGCTGTGGTTCTTCTCACACCCAGGGTTTCTCTGTAGCAGACCAAAAAATGATCAACATTGTTCCATGGGGTTTGTCAGTTGAATCCAAGAGGTGTGAGCATTACTGCCATACTGATAAGTAATGCTACTCATCGTCCAGACTGTATAGGTAATCATGCCTTCTGTGCCAGTACCTCAGGAAAGATTTTACTCCACTTCAGTTGCTGTCACACTTTTTTCACTATTTTCAGATCAACGCAATGGCCAACAAAGCAGCAGGGAAGGGATATGAAAACGAAAACTTTTATTCCAATATCAAATTTCAGTTCTTAGGAATAGAAAATATCCATGTAATGAGAAGTAGTCTACAGAAGTTGTTAGATGGTGAGTAGATAGTCCACAATCCAGGCTTATGTTAAAGCATAACTCCATCATCTTTTGATGGCAGGGGAAATTTAAGATACAGCCTTTACAATGCAATGAAAACAATTTAAAATGTTGTGATACTTCAGATATTTAGTTCTGTATCTATTTTGAGTGTGATGCAAATTGGCCCTGAATGAAGGGTGTTTTCATTTGTGATGTTTGAGTGAAGACTCTAATGTGGAGCTTCCATAGGGCACTGTTAGGCCAATGGTGTCAGTAAATGGGCTAGTAAAGTGATCAAGATTAAACCAGAATAACCGACTCATTCAACTGAATGAAGTTGTATGCAGAGTGGTGTTTCAGTCTGTGACCTGTGATGTTTCAGTCTGTGAACTAAAGAACCCATCGATGAATTCCTTTCTATCTGGTCTGGAGAGCTGTAACTGGCTGAAACACATCAAGGCAATGATGGAGACGTCGGCTTTCATAGCTCATGTAAGTAGTGTTCCACACCAACAGGTGCTTGTTGGTCTGATGTCCATCCTGTAGTTCCTGCTTGTATTGTGTACATGATACAATACATGTTCTGGCTGAAGGCGCCAGGTATTGTGAGGGATGGTTGTCCTATAGAAGCAGGTGTTGAATGTGAATATATTCAGGACAGACACGGAACCTGTATTTGATGTGTTATTGTTTCTCTGCTTCAGGCCATTACTGAAGGCACAAGTGTATTAATCCACTGCTCTGATGGCTGGGACCGCAGAGCCCAGACCTCTAGTCTTGCCAGCCTGATGCTGGACCCTTACTACCGGACCATACAAGGATTTCAGGTAAACATCCAGTATCTTGTCTCCAAGGTGTTTCAACCATGATTTAAAATATTTGTGGCCTTATTTATCACATTACATTGCCTATATGTTCAATATTTTCATGTAGTCTTGTTTTTCTCTGTTGTAGGCACTGATAGAAAAAGAGTGGCTCTCCTTCGGCCACAAGTTCACTGACCGGTGTGGCTTCCTGGACACTGTGGATGCGAAGGAAGTGTCCCCCATCTTCACCCAGTTCCTTGAAGGGACGTGGCAGATGACCCAACAGTTCCCCTGTGCTTTCCAGTTTAACGAGAGATTCCTGCTCACAATCCACGACCACGCCTACTCCTGTCAGTTTGGGACTTTCATCGGCAACTGTGAGAAAGACAGGCTGGACTTGAGGTAGGCATAGAGATGCCTCCAGTCTCAATACTGTCAGTCCATCACCACAGACCGTTGTTAGACAGGATCATATAATAACTCTCTCAATACTGTCAGTCCATCACCACAGGCCGTTGTTAGACAGGATCATATAATAACTCTCTCAATACTGTCAGTCCATCACCACAAGCCGTTGTTAGACAGGATCATATAATAACTCTCTCAATACTGTCAGTCCATCACCACAAGCCGTTGTTAGACAGGATCATATAATAACTCTCTCAATACTGTCAGTCCATCACCACAAGCCGTTGTTAGACAGGATCATATAATAACTCTCTCAATACTGTCAGTCCATCACCACAGGCCGTTGTTAGACAGGATCATATAATAACTCTCTCAATACATCCAGTCTGTTTGTCTTATCCTTGCAGTGTGTATAGTATTTAGTAAACTACAGACTCACATATTGCTAGATTTATTCAAAGCAAGATAAAGACAAAAGGACATCTGGACAGTCTGGACATTGTTATGCTGAATATTGATACTGGATTGTTTGGTCCAGGCTCAATTACTTGCAGACCATCACCATAAAGCTGGAATATTGCTGAGTGAGGTGTTAAACAACAAACCACACAAGACGATGTTCCTTGGAAACACTGTATTATTTTCCTGTTTGTTTCTGTCCAGGCTGAATGAGAGGACCTACTCGCTATGGGGCTACCTTGCCAAACACATGAATGAATACATCAACCCTTTGTTCAAGAAGGAGTACGAGATTTCACACCCGGTGCTAATCCCCAACACTCGACCACAGTGCATAAAGTAAGTCACAGATAAATGTGGGAAATTGATTTTGAAATGTGGGCATTCTGATCCTGAGATAAACTGCTCTTATTGTGGTTTCAAAGTCTTCATGTTTGTTTCTGAACATCTTGAATTCCTACATGACATATCTCATTCTTATACTCAAGCTGGAGTATTGCTGACAGCAGAGAAACACTGTTTTCTCACACATACAACCTGATTTGTGGACTTTGTTTCATAAGGATTATGGAACAGACATTGCCTTCAAACAAATCATGAAACCTATGGGGTTTCCGGTTATTGATAGATGTACAGCAACCCATTGTCGTAAGAGGTCATTTCATGAATCAGATGTTGAGGTTGTTGAATGTACATCATTGTATTACAGTGTCATGAATCAGATGTTGAGGTTGTTGAATGTCCATCATTGTATTACATTGTCACGGATCAGTGCTCATGATGTCAATCACTGGTCCAGATGTGATTTATTTAATTGTAATAGTGCAGAGAGTGGCATTACAGTTTGTGAGAAGACAATGTAGATAAATCCACATCTCAAGGGTTGCCTCTGTGGGACAACAATGTCCTCTGAGTGTGAGTGAGTGAGTTTAGTTTTACGCCACACTCAGCAATATTTCAGCTATATGGTGGCAGTCTGTAAATAATCGAGTCTGGAACAGACAATCCAGGGATCAACAGCATGAACATCGATCTGCACAATTGGGATATGATGACGTGTGTCAACCCAGTCAGCAAGTCTGACCACCAGATCCCGTTAGTCGCCTCTTACGACAGGCATGGGTTGCTGAAGATCAGTCCTAGCCCAGACCTTCACGGGTCCTCTGAGTGTGACAGAGGCCACTGGACGGCAGCTATCTGACCCAGTCACTTCTACTGCTGCAGGTTCTGGAAGGGCATGTACAACCGGTTCGAGAACGGGATCCATCCCCGGGAGCATGTGCAGGACATTCTGAGTGCAGCCAAAGATCACAGCTCCTCTCTAGAAGATCATGTCAGACTACTGGAGAAGGTGAACATTATATTTGTTATTCACATTGTTTCTCAGTTCGGCTGGCTGAATGTTAAATGTTCCTGTGTCATGGTCGTCTTGCCTGGCTTTGTAAACATCTTCTCTGAAATAAACAGTAACGGCTGAATCTTGAGATGTATGTTCCACCTGTGATGACACTGACTTTCTACAATTGGTTGGAATCATGTCACCTGAACAATATTGAAAACCTAGTGATGGTCATAATTAGGCCCTTTTTTTCTGTTAGTTCATGGTGTAGAGTAGATAGTCCGACTCAAAACATGTTCTGTGTACTTCCTATTTTATGGGGGCGGTGGGGTAGCATAGTAGTTAAAGCATTCATTCATCACACTGAAGACCCGGGTTCAATTCCCCACATGGGTACAATGTGTGAAGCCCATGTAAACTCTTAAATGATGGTTTGTGTTCAGGATAAAGTTGTCTTTTAGAGGTTAATGACATGTTTTACAATTGTTCATGGGATAATCGAGACAACAGATGTTCTTAAAGTGTCGGGGAAAAAACATAACACAAGGATACATTTAATCCCAGATTGGTTGCTCTCCCTAAAAAAACCAGTCCAATGTTTTGAAATCAAAAAGATGTTTGCATTCCAGATGTTTTGACCATGGAGAAGAGTCAGGGACCCGTATTGCTCACTACCTTTTCTTTTCCAGAGAGTGACGCAAATCTGCAAGCTGCTGGGCAAATCCGACGAGACCATTCAGCGCAAACTTCAGGGTTTCCTGTCCATGGAGTCGCTAGACGGGTTTCTTGCTGGCCACATCGATGAGTTGACATTGAAAATAGCAGAAGCTAACCACAACGACATCGAATCAAAAGATGCCGACCTGTCCGGCAACCATGTAAAGAGTGACTCAGAGTCAGGCTTTGATGAATCAAGTTCCCAGATGTCCAGATCGGGTTTTGACGATGGTTATGCTATGGACAGCAGTCTGCTCCAAAGATCCCCGAGTTCCGAGACACTCTCGCTGGATCAGCTCCTCATGGAGTTGAAAACAGTTGCTGTAGAGTGGAGGTCATTCCGCAATGTCCACAACTGTAGCTGTGCCACCCCCTTTGACCACTACGTCAAGAAGGCAAGACTCATTTTACTTTCGATTCAGTTTTAGGCTAAATTCGTTAACACATTAAGATTGGTGAAATGAACTGATTTCATGTTCCAAGGAAGCAGTTAATTGTTCACTTATCCAAAGTTTACTGAGTTATCTACAGCTGAGATTTTACATTAAATGTAAGCACTTCTTGTACACAGTAACAAGGAATGATATGTATGGATTTTCATCAGTTTTTGTTGCTAACATATGTATTAATAACCTATATTATCATCTCTAACACTCGATATAATCAACTCTTCTCAAAGGATGGTAATACACACATGTGTATGAGAGTTTTTCATACAACAGTAATCTTTGTATCTCCTTAAGAAGCTACTTAAGCTTTTGGTCAACTAAAGTCTGAATTTGATTTGATCTGGGCAGGAATTTTCACTTAAGGTATGTCATCATTTTCATTGAACTTTTTTTAAAAAGCATTTTGCAACTTCAATTGACCTGTGGCACGTTTGTGCATACAAAGTTTATTTTACCATCTTCTTTCCTTTCTGACATGTGAACATCTTGGGAAGGCATGCATTTGTGAATCTGATTACATGGGCTTCTTGAATGAAACTAATAAATTCTTCTTCACTGATTCAGAATAAATGATTGTTATCATATGTAGCATGTGAATGCATGCCTTCATGACTTCTCAATGTTGGAACTTAAAACAACTAACGGAACATTTAATTGGATGAAAATGGATGCATGTTACTATGCCAACCATGCAGAAAACAGGGATAAGGGAGTTTCAGTTTACTGCCCCGATTACCATTATGTTAATCCAACCTGCTGCCGTAGTTCAGACTCTAGTACCTGGCGTAGGTCACAAAGGTCATCTGGGGTTGTCTCATTTCTTTCCTTCAGTTTTGTCTCTGATCCTCTTTATGTTTTCTGGCTTGTGGAAAGGACAGTGTCATCTCTGCCCTGTTTATTTGTGACATACAAAAACAGAGTTATTCTTTGGGCGTTGTAGTCATTACTGGTGGTGGGCAAGTCGTGTGAGAATTTTTATCTTTTGATTTTTGGACATAAGTTATCAGGAAAATGTTTCTTCAGGTGTGACAGATTGATATGCTTCGAAAGAACGTTCAAATTTGTCAATTGGTTTAAACAGTCGTTATGAAACTGTTTCGTGTTTGCTTCTTTGGACATTTCACATCTTCAGTCAGGTGTGAATCATTCCTCAAGCTTCCACATTCATCTCTACTCACCATTCAAGACTAACTTCTTGACATGCTTAAAATACCAATACTAACACCTTCAAGTCTTCCAGAGTGACTGTTATTTTTATTAAAACATACTTCATCCTCCACATGCCAAGTAAGACACTGTGTCCTGTACATGCCAAGTAAGACACTGTGTCCTGTACATGCCAAGTAAGACACTGTGTCCTGTACATGCCATGTAAGACAGTGTGTCCTGTACATGCCAGGTACAACACTGTGTCCTGTACATACCAAGTACAACACTGTATCCTGTACATACCAAGTAACACAATGTGTCCTGTACATGCCAAGTACAACACTGTGTCCTGTACATGCCAAGTACAACACTGTGTCATGCATGTACATGTGTCCTGTACATGCTGAAGTAAGACACTGTGTCCTGTACATGCCAAGTAAGACACTGTGTCCTGTACATGCCAAGTAAGACACTGTACCTGTACATGCCATGTAAGACAGTGTGTCCTGTACATGCCAAGTACAACACTGTGTCATGTACATACCAAGTAACACAATGTGTCCTGTACATGCCAAGTAACACAATGTGTCCTGTACATACCAAGTAACACAATGTGTCCTGTACATGCCAAGTAAGACAATGTGTCCTGTACATACCAAGTACAGCACTGTGTCCTGTACATACCAAGTAACATAATGTGTCCTGTACATGCCAAGTACAACATTGTATCCTGTACATACCAAGTAAGACACTGTGTCCTGTACATACCAAGTACAACACTGTGTCCTGTACATGCCAAGTACAACACTGTGTCCTGTACATGCCAAGTAACACAATGTGTCCTGTACATGCCAAATACAACACTGTGTCTGTACATGCCAAGTACAACACTGTATCTTGTACATACCAAGTAACACAATGTGTCCTGTACATGCCAAGTACAACACTGTGTCCTGTACATGCCAAGTACAACACTGTGTCCTGTACATGCCAAGTACAACACTGTGTCCTGTACATGCCAAGTAACACACTGTGTCCTGTACATGCCAAGTACAACACTGTGTCCTGTACATGCCAAGTACAACACTGTGTCCTGTACATACCAAGTAACACAATGTGTCCTGTACATGCCAAGTACAACACTGTGTCCTGTACATACCAAGTAAGACACTGTGTCCTGTACATGCCAAGTAAGACACTGTGTCCTGTACATGCCAAGTAAGACACTGTGTCCTGTACATGCCAAGTAAGACACTGTATCCTGTACATGCCAAGTAAGACACTGTGTCCTGTACATGCCAAGTACAACACTGTGTCCTGTACATACCAAGTAAGACACTGTATCCTGTACATACCAAGTAACACAATGTGTCCTGTACATGCCAAGTACAACACTGTGTCCTGTACATGCCAAGTAAGACACTGTGTCCTGTACATGCCAAGTAAGACACTGTGTCCTGTACATGCCAAGTAAGACACTGTACCTGTACATGCCATGTAAGACAGTGTGTCCTGTACATGCCAAGTACAACACTGTGTCCTGTACATACCAAGTAACACAATGTGTCCTGTACATGCCAAGTAACACAATGTGTCCTGTACATACCAACACCATGTCCTGTACATGCCAAGTACAACACTGTGTCCTGTACATACCAAGTAACACAATGTGTCCTGTACATGCCAAGTAACACAATGTGTCCTGTACATACCAAGTAACACAATGTGTCCTGTACATGCCAAGTAAGACAATGTGTCCTGTACATACCAAGTACAGCACTGTGTCCTGTACATACCAAGTAACATAATGTGTCCTGTACATGCCAAGTACAACACTGTATCCTATACATGCCAAGTAAGAAACTGTGTCCTGTACATGCCAAGTACAACACTGTATCCTGTACATGCCAAGTAACACAATGTGTCCTGTACATGCCAAGTAACACAATGTGTCCTGTACATGCCAAGTACAACACTGTATCCTATACATGCCAAGTAACACAATGTGTCCTGTACATGCCAAGTAACACAATGTGTTGCTGGGTACTGTACTTCTGGATAACCAGTCACTTCATTCTTTACCTTTATCAAGAATTATTTGTTGAAACATGGAAGAATTCATTTGTTTGAAAGTTCTGCACATTTTACAGACATCTTAAATTTTGACACCTTCTATAAACTATTGCACAGACTATTTAACAGAACTTTTGAAACTGAAAACTGTCTGTTTCTTAGTGTCTTGTGTAAGGGAGACAACTGCTGTCCTGTAGAATTCTGAACAATTAACACTTAACTGATGGTGATTATACAGTGTAACATATTTGTAACCTTCAAATCCTTTGTTATTGTTAGTGATACAACATTTCTTTATTAAAATGCATGAAATATTGGATCCAGTTTGAAGCCAGCAAACTTGAACAGCTGGTTAAGGATTAACATACTTACCTTGACTCATGAGCTGACCAGATGTGAGAGAGTTTTGTTACAATGTATAACTCCAGCTGAATATCCACTGATGTTCTGGTCCAGAATGTGTTGCTTTCAAGCCACTACATAGTTACCTCACTTCTCTTGCTATTTGTATTTTAAGAGGTATTCGTTTTTATCTGGTATTTGGGAAACGTCAATAAGAGTTGTTTTTTTAAAGATATTTTTGGGTGACATTTGTGAAATCTTTAAATAATGGTTTGTCAGACATTAAATTATGTTTCTCATACAGGTACATGTTGCAGATACAATGTGGATATTAGTGAATGTTAATTAAGTCTATTGAAGGAGGGAAAACGATAATCTTGTAGTCTAACACATCTGACCCAGTATGACCCAGCTTGTGAAGACTGGTGTGTACATTATGTATATGTGTATATTGTTCTGATTCCAGTTCCACTGCTGGAAGTGCGGTGAGGTGTTCTGTACGCGCTGCATTGCCCGCTACATCCCGCTCCCCGGACACTACTCTCGCCGGCCCGTCCCCGTCTGTAAGCCCTGCTATCGACAAGTCCGACACTCGCCGTCAATGGAGTTCCCCACCAGTTGATGTCACCACCACTAGACCGACCCCGACAGCCACATCCCTAGACCTGTGTATCGTCTGTCACACTGCACTCCTCCCTAGAATCCTACTGGCTTCAGTGTGCCACAACTGTGTACAGTATTTATTGAAGCAAATGCTCGATGTCAATAGATTATTGATGCTCTCTCAATTACAATGTGTATATGACGTGAGATTTAATAGAATTGAAGATGATTTCAGGTTCTAAATATCAGAGTTGAGTTACTGTTTTGTTTGGTTGTGATCATGAATGTACATAAGGTATATAGATTTTCCTCTCAATCTTGTCAGGTACAGATTAGGTTGTTGTGAGTCAGTCAGTGACTTAAGGGCACTGATTGTATGCTCCCCAGGGAGATGATAATGAATATTGAGTGCACACTCAACTGACGGGTTAATAATGTCTACGCACTTAGAGCATGCTTGGCATACAGTGTTATAGAAAAAGGATTGTTATTATTATTAATATCTCCACAACTCTTCTGACCATTGGGTTGTTAACATGACGATCGTCCAGAGACAAGACACAGATGTTTCGTCTCTAGATCAGCTCATCAACGTATGTTTGTCATTCACTCTCTATCACCACAATGAATGTAACAGGGTCCTTTCTTATCATAGAGTCCTCATTAGTGGTGGTCCGATTAATTGAAATAATCGAAGATTGGTCGCAGTGACTAAACAACCAAGCAATCGATCATGTTTTCTCATAATCGAACACAAACAATTCTGGAACACTTGTTTTCATAAACAATATTTTTCACAAGGTTGGTTTTGTCTGTTACATTTCATAAGCACTACAAGCTCGTTTCAAGTCATGATTGAATTTATCTTAAAGACTCCAAGAAATTTATGTTCCTGACATACTAGTCATCCTTTAAAGAAGTGAAATTTTGCCCAAAACACCACAAAAGAACTACATGTTTTTTCCTTATTTTTGTGTGCATTAACGAATTTCATTAATGACGCTAACCAATTTTTTTCGCTGATTTTTTCGGTTGTAATAAACCAATCATCAATTATGAGATTTTAACCAATTCCCAACACTAGTCCTCATGTTATATATTATAGCTGTTGGTCATTTGATATCATATACTACAACATAAATCCTTGCTGACCACAGTGGCCCCTTCATATCTTGTATTGCAATGGACATGAGTTGCATAGCTGGGTCCAAGTATTAGATAGATCTTGAAGCATGTCCACTCTGGATGTTTATGTATAAAATAGTGCGTTTTGATAAGAAAAACAGTCCAGGCCATGAGAAACAACAGATACTTGTGCTCAGTTCACAGCTAGAAACAACAGATAATTGTGCTGAATCCCCAACTAGAAACAACAGATAATTGTGCTGAATCCCCAGCTAGAAACAACTGATAATTGTGCTGAATCCCCCATTTGAAACAACAGATACTTGTGCTGAATCCCCAACTAGAAACAACAGATAATTGTGCTGAATCCCCCATTTGAAACAACAGATAATTGTGCTGAATCCCCAGCTAGAAACAACAGATAATTGTGCTGAATCCCCAGCTAGGAAACAACAGATAATTGTGCTGAATCCCCAGCTAGAAACAACAGATAATTGTGCTGAATCCCCAGCTAGAAACATCAGGCAGAATCAGGCAGATAACAGATAATTGTGCTGAATCCCCAGCTAGGAACAACAGATAATTGTGCTGAATCCCCAGCTAGAAACAACAGATAATTGTGCTGAATCCCCAGCTAGGACATCAGGCAGATATTTCAAGTTAAGAGCATGGTGACCTGTATGGGGAGCCTACACGTGATCTTCATCCGTTGATAGGCGTGTATTGTCATGCATTCAGTTCCGGGATAGATTGTAGCAACAATCATATCTTGTATTGTTTGTATACTTTGCATATTTCTTTGATGTTTTTCTACCTGACCACATAAATTGTCTGTTTTTATATGAATATTGTATTTGAACAAATCATATAGGATATTGACATGGTTGAATTTTTACTTGTTTACTTCATCATCAAATTCATCAAGCTTCCGATCAACATATGACATGAAGAATGATATCAAGATGATTTTCCTGATAGTCAGTCTAGTCTTTGATTGTAACCTTTATGAAATAGCCTCTTCTAGGAATGCAGGGGAACTTATGTCAGGGACAAGTAGGGTTGAATGGTTTTAATGCGTTTGAAATCTACTGTATTCCCTGTAATAAGTGCCCTGACTTACTAAGTGTCCTCTCACTCACTTCCAACTCATCTATAATGGATTGTTTTACGAGCCCTCTACTACGACTGGCCATTTACATGACAGCCTGTATCTGCATATATAACTGCCTGGTAACTATGATCATAAACGTTTTTGTTACAGTTGAACTTATTGTTTTCTACCTCTTGATCTGTGACAACAAATTTTGTCTCCCTGTTTGTGGATTATTACTGTGTATATGGCTGTCAGGGTGTATACTCCCAGAGAGAATACATACTTAGATCACAAATGCTCATCTTGTAATTAACAAATAAACTTCCACTCACTCACTCACCTATACAGGGCTATCCAGCCCAAAGAAGCAATCAAACTATGTAACCAGATCATTGACAGCTCTCCTGACATCTTACCAAGGCAAGGGAGTTAACTCTTCTGAAAAATGTAGTGTCCTTGGACGGAATTCCGTAGCTCACTTGTAGAGCCACCATTAGGTATAATGAGTTACATACCTTACACTAGCCAATCAGATTCTATCTGTCATATTGCTTGCATTTACTTCAATCAATAACAGGCCTGGTCAAGATGATCTTATGAATATTCGAAACATATATTGTCATGATATAGGTCTTACTTTCTATTTTGTCCCTTGCCTTGGAAAGGTCATGACTAGCATCACAGTCCAAGGTCACAAAGAACCCAGCAGTTTCTTGTTCCCGATCTGTTCAGTATTCAGTATTGGCCTGCATCTTCCCATCACTGTGTATATGTATAGACCTGTGTATAACTATACATTTGTATATACAGCAATGTGATTATTTTGGAGGAAGTGACAAGTGCAATATTTTGCGAAAATATATTTGTTTGTCTTAATTTATTTTCATCCATGTGTGTCATTTCGAGAACATCATATCTATATCTAGAGATCATGATTTAATTTGAAGACAGACATATGTATGTAATAATTTTACCGATGACTTAAGTGTTGACTGAAGTACTTTCAGAGAGAGAGAGAGAGCGAGCTGTGTAGCATTCTTCTTGAATGTGTTTCCTTCAGTAGTTGCCAATTTGAGTAGTGCTCTCTTAGCAACACTTTCAGTACTAAGTACCAAGCAATAGAAACAACTGTTAGATATGATAATCATTGTTATCAGTGATTATCAGGTGATATTTGTCTGTTATCAGTGATTACCAGGTGATATCAGTCTGTTATCAGTGATTACCAGGTACCAGGTGATATCAGTCTGTTATCAGTGATTATAGCTAAAATACATGGATTTATCATGAAACAGCCCTACTATTATCAGAAATTTGCGGGCCGCTGCAAATGATATTGGACCGCTCAACCTTAACGACGGGCCACTATCAGTTCTGTTGTCAGTTCTGCTGTCAAAGGCCAAGGTCGAATATCGCCACGTTCTGTTGTGATGTAACTTGAATTGTTTTGATGACGTAATTGCATTCGGTCAGTCAACCCCGTCAGAAGTTGGTTTTGAGTAAACTTACTGTCAAATTCCTTCATTGTTTCCTTTTTCTTTTCAACACAAATTCCATGTATTTTAGCAATAATAACGGTAATGCTGTTTTTTAGGGCATTATCATTTGCAGAAGCCCTCGGTCTTTTTCAACTGGCCTCCTTCATCGGGCAGTTAATGGAAGACCTAGGGCTTCTGCAAATGATAATGCCCTCAAAACTAGCATTACCCTTTAATTACCAGGTACCAGGTGATATCAGTCTGTTATCAGTGATTACCAGGTTCCAGGTGATATCAGTCTGTTATCAGTGATTATCAGGTGATATCAGTCCATTAGTACTGTGTTATGAGTGAAGATCATCTGATATCAGCCAATATTGTTGTGTTCTGTGTGGTAATCATGTGGTTATCACATGGAAGCTCATGTTATAGCTGTCAGTTATCACAGTGTTATCAGAGGAACTGCAACAAGTGATCCTGCTATATTGATATTACTTGTGGGAAGAATTTACTTTATTCATAAATTGAGGGAGGAATTCACTTTATTATGTTGATTCTTTTTTTTTTTTATGGTGAGGCATTACAATATGGCAAACATTCCGTACTTAAGGAGTATGTGGTTTGTATTTTCCTGTGATGTTATGACAATGTGTTTAATTCTATGGTACCAATATGCTTTGTCACGCCTTCATTGTTTGCAGTCCGACCAGACTAGGATCCATAGCAGGCACTCTGCATCAAGCTGACCTATGTTGACACCAGTGGCTAAATAGGCCATGACATTTGAGTAGTGAAGTTGTTCCTGCTATGAAGCTTGGTAGTACAGCTGTATTCAAGTCACCCACAGTGTGAGAAAACACCTGCATGGGCAGTGTCATGTAATATTACATCTTCTAGTGACTATTTAACAAGAAGGTTCAGGGCAACAATGTATTCTGGGCAATATTATTATTTAAAATTTAACAAAATCAGATAATAGATACATTGTTTCTTGATATTAATATGCTACAAGTGAGATGTCTTCAGTCACTTGGTGTCCATCCATGTGAGTTGTTAGGATTAGCAGTCTCCAGATCAATTAGTGTCTAAACTAATATAGTGTCATATTCTTGTGGTGTTAAGTTTAACTGTCCAGAATGAGGTGTCTAGCTTAACAAGGTTTCCAGATCTGTGAAGTGTCTGGATTAACAAGGTTTCCAGATATGTGAAGTGTCTGGATTAACAAGGTTTCCAGATATGTGAAATGTCTGGATTAACAAGGTTTCAAGATGTGTTGATAAACAGAGGTTAGAATATTTTCAAACTAATGTAATGCAAAATGTCATTCTGTTTAAAACAATTAAAGACATCCCAAAAGGTTTCCTATAGACTATCATATAGTAGCTGCTGTTATTTTCTCCCTGTGTGTCATGTTTGCTTCCCTCTTGTCAATATCCAGACTGCACAGCATTGACAGCATGGTGAGTGTATTCTACACTGAAATGTGCCAAGGGAGGTGATAACATGATATATACCACTGTGGTCCTGTACCAGTACGCTGGATTCTTTATTCTAGTACTACAGTGTAGATAAATGCTGGGAGGTATGTACAGACTATACTGTCTCATGTATCTCCTCATAATACTAATGTATATATTTGTTGATTATAGCTCAAATAGTAAATAAATGAAATCAACTTGCATTGAACTAGTTTGTGTTTTTTCTTAAAAGGATGAGATTAAATTATGAAATGCTCCTACCAGGGCTGCATCAGTGGGACCACTCTCAAAAATAAATGTACAACAGATGTATCCCGAGGACCCCTTTCCAGATGGCTGTATCCTGAGGACCACTCTCAGAAACTTATGATGGCTGTATCCCGAGGACCACTCTCAGAAACTTACGATGGCTGTATCCTGAGGACCACTCTCAGAAACTTACGATGGCTGTATCCTGAGGACCACTCTCAGAAACTTACGATGTTTGTATCCTGAGGACCACTCTCAGAAACTTACGATGGCTGTATCCCGAGGACCACCCTCAGAAACTTACGATGGCTGTATCCTGAGGACCACTCTCAGAAACTTACGATGTTTGTATCCTGAGGACCACTCTCAGAAACTTACGATGGCTGTATCCTGAGAACCACTCTCACCCAGATGGCTCAGAACCACTTAGAAATGGTCTGTATCCTGAGGACCACTCTCAGAAACTTACGATGTTTGTATCCTCTCAGAAACTTACGATGGCTGTATCCCGAGGACCACTCTCAGAAACTTATGATGGCAGTATCCTGAGGACCACTCTCAGAAACTTACGATGGCTGTATCCTGAGAACCACTCTCAGAAACTTACGATGGCTGTATCCTGAGAACCACTCTCAGAAACTTACGATGTTTGTATCCCGAGGACCACTCTCAGAAACTTACGATGTCTGTATCCTGAGGACCACTCTCAGAAACTTATGATGGCTGTATCCTGAGGACCACTCTCAGAAACTTACGATGTCTGTATCCTGAGGACCACTCTCAGAAACTTCACGATGTCTGTATCCTGAGAGAACCACTCTCAGAAACTTACGATGGCTGTATCCCGAGGACCACCCTCAGAAACTTACGATGGCTGTATCCTGAGGACTACTCTCAGAAACTTACGATGGCTGTATCCTGAGGACCACTCTCAGAAACTTACGATGGCTGTATCCTGAGGACCACTCTCAGAAACTTATGATGGCTGTATCCTGAGGACCACTCTCAGAAACTTACGATGTCTGTATCCTGAGAACCACTCTCAGAAACTTACGATGTTTGTATCCCAAGGACCACTCTCAGAAACTTACGATGGCTGTATCCCGAGGACCACCCTCAGAAACTTACGATGGCTGTATCCTGAGGACCACTCTCAGAAACCTACAATGGCTGTATCCTGAGGACCACTCTCAGAAACTTACGATGTTTGTATCCTGAGAACCACGCTCAGAAACTTACGATGTTTGTATCCCGAGGACCACTCTCAGAAACTTACGATGGCTGTATCCTGAGGACCACTCTCAGAAACTTATGATGGCTGTATCCTGAGGACCACCCTCAGAAACTTACGATGTTTGTATCCCGAGGACCACTCTCAGAAACTTACCATGTTTGTATCCCCGAGGACCACTCTCAGAAACTAACGATGGCTGTATCCTGGGGACCACTCTCTCAGAAACTTACGATGGCTGTATCCTGAGGACCACTCTCAGAAACTTACGATGTTTGTAACCACTCTCAGAAACTTATGATGGCTGTATCCCGAGGACCACTCTCAGAAACCTACGATGGCTGTATCCAGGACCACTCAGAAACTTACGATGTGCTGTATCCTGAGCACCACTCTCAGAAACTTACGATGATCCACCACTCTCAGAAACTTACGATGGCTGTATCCTGAGGACCACTCTCAGAAACTTACGATGTTTGTATCCTGAGGACCACTCTCAGAAACTTATGATGGCTGTATCCCGAGGACCACTCTCAGAAACTTACGATGTTTGTATCCCGAGGACCACTCTCAGAAACTTACGATGTTTGTATCCCGACCACTCTAAGAAACTAACGATGTTTGTATCCTGAGGACCACTCTCAGAAACTTACGATGGCTGTATCCTGAGGACCACTCTCAGAAACTTACGATGTCTGTATCCTGAGGACCACTCTCAGAAACTTACGATGTCTGTATCCTGAGGACCACTCTCAGAAACTTACGATGTTTGTATCCCGAGGACCACTCTCAGAAACTTACGATGTTTGTATCCCGACCACTCTCAGAAACTTACGATGTTTGTATCCTGAGGACCACTCTTAGAAACTTACGATGGTTGTATCCCGAGGACCACTATTTACAAAGTAATTACTACAGTAGTACAATTATGAAATACAATAACAGTGGTTATGTGGTGGAAGTATTATCTTTACCACTGGCCTTGATGCAGTGCCAGATGATAGGGGCATACCCATGTCGTCTTAGATGGTCTATATAGCTTCTAGAAAATTTCAATTTTCTGCTGGATTAGTCTCTGCTTTTTCAGAATGTAGCAAAAGGAACTTGGAAAAAAAATCAATATGTTGCAATCGCCACACTACTGCTTACGTAAGTAAGATAGTGATACATTCTGGACAATAAATTATTGTTCAAACTTGAGGTAATGACGTTTAACACTCACATTGTAATATACTAGGCAGCAAAAGAAACGTCAGTTTGGAATTTTCCGTCTCAGAAACAGATAACTAAACTCATTTTATGTTTTGATTGTATGCTCTCTCTCTCTCTTACTATCTCTCTCTCTCTGTGTTTAAAATTACAAATGCAAAAGAAGTAGATGAAACCCTTCCTACACGTCGCATAATATGTAAGCCTAGTGTAAATTACAGTGTGATATTTCCTCGGAAACCCTATGTTGATCGGGAAAGTAGATACAAAGTTCAGTGGTCGGGATTCGAAACTAGGATCTCTCGCACTACAGGTTGACACGCTAATGTTTGTGCTTCTTCAACGTAGCGAGACTGGGAATCGCCAGTACTGTAAAGACATAGTGACCCTCTACCTACTGATGTTGACACCCTTTTAATAATACTGGCATGATGTCTCGAAATATTTATGTCCTAGTTATTCATTCGTCCTCTATGAGAATATCGTCATCAAATCTAGAAAGTGTATCATTCTGTCTAGAAATGTTGGCATCGTGTGTAGAAGTATCTGTGACATTCTTGTGAACTAGTAAACACTTATTTAGTTTGAATACAATGTTTAAGTACATCAATATAAATATATAACTTGAAAGAGCTACAGAACGAAAGATTGGGTATGCCGAAAATCAATTTCATTTTTGTCAATGATTCCCGAATGCCTGAATCTGTGCTGTACACTCGGCCACATCCGGTGACAGTGAAACAGTAAAAACTACTTGATAAGTCACTATCTATCGTTTTTGGTTTACATCTGGAATGTAGAGAGTGAGTTTAGTTTTACGCCGCACTCAGCAATATTCCAGCTATATGGCGTCGGTCTGTAAATAATCGAGTCTGGACCAGACAATCCAGTGATAAAACAGCATGAGGATCGATCTGCGCAATTGGGAACCGATGATAAGTGTCAACCAAATCAGCGAGCCTGACCACCCGATCCTGTTAGTCGCCTCTTACAACAAGCATAGTCGCCTTTTGTGGCAAGCATGGGTTGCTGAAGACCAATTCTACCCCGGATCTTCACGGGTCCATCTGGATTGTAATGGCAAATCGGCTGTAAGATCAATAGGTGGTATTTGCTTGTCATTTTAAGTGATTTGTTTTTCATTTTATATCTAACGTATCAGCAGTTCAGGGTCGGATACAGCTTTTTGAAAAAGGGGGGGTGCATAGTTCATTTTTGCCCGAGACCAAATGGCAAGCTTAGAATGTGTGTTTGGGATAAGGTGGCAAATATACACAGCCTTCCACGCCGCCTCTTGTGGCTTTGTGACCCAATGGTTAGTTGCAGACATTAATCTGCATAAGAGTTAACTCAACTCGTAAAAACTCGGTTTTCATTTTATTGTTTACCTAAAATTACCTTTCAAACACACAGACACTCTTCACAGACTTGGCTGTGTTACAGTTTGTTACAGTCAGGTGCATTAATTAGTTACTTGTATGTTACCTCTACACAAAGACTTGTGTCACAGAAAACTACTGATAGAGGATGCATTTCTCAAACATACGTCTGCGATGCTTTTTCACATATTTGTGAACTATCTCATCAGAAACTATTTTCTTGTCCTGGTTCAGGTGGATCAGTGTCAGTCCAGTCAAGCGCTCCTGACCCATGGTACTCCTCAGATGCATCTTCAGCCTTTTAAGGCTAGAAAATGTCCTTTCTGCTTCAGTGCTTGTAACTGGAAGTGTAACGGCAATTGTGAGCAGCTTACGGATGTTAGGGAAAACATCCTCATCAGCAGATTTCAAGCTTTCGATTGCACCTTCAGGGTGGTATTCCTGTGACAACCAATGAAGGCGCCAACTTCGGAGTTCTGCCAGAAGAGAAGACACCATTGGCAAGTCATTCTCCCAGAACATTAGGTTTGCTTCCAACTGTAGTAGATCTGGTTGCTGAACAACAGCACATGGCAGAAGACCAAACAGTTCAATTCCAGGACGGTTCTCTGGACTGAACCTTGTGTTCATCTCTTCTTGCAGGTGGTCAAGGAAAGGAATGATCAAATTGAGCTTGAAGTGTTCTTCGGGAGATTGGGATGGTGCATTCGCTTTCTGTGTCATCCTCTTCACAATCCGAGGAAGACGTATTTCAGCATCAAGCTGTTCTGCAATAGCACAAGCTTCCACATACCAATCATGACTCCTTTGATCCACATCAGCCCTCATGGTTTTGATCATTGATACCCTTTCGTCAATAAGTTTGTAAGCCATGCAGATGTCATTGTTCCTTTTTTGAAGTTTGACTGCAAGTGGTTTAACAACTTCAAGTTCATTATGGGCCACCACAAACGCCATGATGTGTTGCGAATCTCTCAGAATGGTCAAAAGCCCTTGTGCTTTTATGGTTGTCTCTTTGTCCCATGCCCAGTTCTCATCACGATAAATGTCTGCATGGTTTCGAGGATATAGGATGGCCTCAAAACATGTGCAAATGTGGCTATACAACGTTTGAAAGACGTCAAAGCACACATGCCTCTCAACCCATCTAGTCTTGCAAAATCCCCAAAGACGAGTTCTTTTCGTATCAGTGCAAAACGCTTTCAGAACTCTCTCTAAAAACCTCTGGCGTTTTGGTGAATTGTCAAAGAAAAGAAAAACTTGGTTGATGTTGTCCATCATGTTTCTGATTGGAGGGATTTTGCATGAAGCCGCAATACTCAGATTCAGAACATGGCTGTTGCAATGCGTGTACAAAGTCGTAGGTGCCAATGTTTTGACATGAGCCTGAACACCAACTCGAGATGAAGACATGCAGGATGCACCATCATAGCTTTTTCCTCGACACTTGGTGATATCAATACCTTGGTCTTTCAGTGACTTTAAGATAGCCTCTGCAATATGCTGACCTGTTGTTCTTTCTAAATGTACATAATCAAAGAATGTCTCTTTGATAGTCATTGTATTTTGATCAATATATCTCAGGCAAAGACCAAGAACCTCAACATTGGAAAACGTATCTGTGACTTCATCTGCAATCACAGAAAACACAGCCCCTTCTTTTTGAAGCTGAGTGACCAACTCTGAGCGAATGTGGTCACCAACTACTTCAATGATTTCATTTTGAACTGTTTTGCTGGTATATTGGGTGTTTCTTCTGCCAAACTCTAAATGATGACGTAGTTTGTCATCTCTATCTGCCAGTAGATTTAATATGGCCAGAAAGTTTCCCTTGTTTGGCTGTTCTGATGTCCTGTCATCTCTGTGCCCCCTCAGAGACAAACCTTGTCTGCCACAGAGTATCACTGTGTCAACTATTTGTTTCAGAATGTGGCAGTTCAAGTCGTACATCTCCTTATTCTGTTGAGATATCCGATAAGGTAACGACTTTTCAGGTTCTTTGTAAATGTGTAGGAAGTCCAACGCCGCAAGAACAGCTTGTTTGTGAAAAAAGGTATTCTGGTGAGTCTCAAATGCACCATTTTCCCCAGTTGCTTTAGACAAATTTGTGAAAGGATACTTTACTAAAGACCCTGCGCACTTTCGCTCATCACCCAGGTTCGGAAACAGAACACACATTTTACATAAGCCTCCACCTGCTGCTGGACTGTACACTAGCCAACTGTACTTATTCAACCAGCTGTGCTGGAATACAAGACGTGTTACTCGTTTCTGTTGTGGCCGAGCTCTTGTTTGCGAAACAAACCCATCATATTCTGAAGTGGGATGAAAGTGATGTTTCAGGTATTTGTACTTTTGATCTTTACTCAAAGTACTGAGGTTCCGACATTTTCGGCTTCTTGTTAGCTGGTTCACTGCTGCTGTCCTTCATATCCCTGGTATCGGATTGTGAGAAACCAGACATTGTGAAGCCTTTTTCGGGTGCCTTTTCCCATACACTATCAGCTGAGTATGTGTTACCCAGATTCACACTTTTCACTTCGGAAAACTCTGTATCTGGCAAAGCACACTTACTTTCCATCTCTCCGGTTTCAATACAGGCCACAAAATGGTTAGGTTTCCATCCCGCTGTGTCTGTGCTGGTCATGTGGGTCCACATGATACAGATAGGTGGGGTCTTTATTTCCCCAACGAGTGGTGTGATGGTTTGGTGCATGACCTGTCGATCAATTGCTACACTCCGAATATTGGGATAAACCGATATGACCTTGCGCTGAAAAGCATTGCTTGCCACGTATATGTGTATAAGAGAGGAATACCGTTTACAGTGTTAAGTACCTCTTTCCGAAATGTTTGTTTCATAGATGAAGTCACAAGTGATTCATCAGCTGCTGAGGTAACAACGACATACTGTAACAAGTTCTGCTTTTCCTTGGCTTTCCCACCTGACATAGAAGCAAGCGAGTGATGACTGGTTGATGTATAGCTTCTCGTTCACGACAAGTTCATTTATGATACGCACCCGGCATTCGAGATGGTGAGTTTCATCACCCAAAAGTTGTTGGGAGAAGGCTCGAAGGAGACAATTCCCATCACCAATGCATGCAACTGGATGTCGAGATGTCGGAGCATCAGCTGGATAAACACCGACAGCCACGGAATCGCGAGCAAACTTTACACACTTTGGTACTTGGTCAGGTAAATTGAACTGTTTGATACTCTGCGACCTCAGAGAAAACTGAAAACTCAAACATTCCCAGCCTTGTTTGGCTGCACTAACTAATGCTGAATGCAGCCGCTGGTAATGTACCACACGCTTCTGGTCGTCCATAATAAACTGATTTCTACATGTAACAATCTTACTTAGTCAACAAGATAAATTTAAAACCAACAGGTACACAAAAATTATTGCAAATCGGAAAAAACCTATGGACTGAACACAATAGCACATTGACCATCTGTAAGCTGAAACTAAATTTATATGAAACAAAATGACAACTATGAAAACGAACTATGAAGCCCTATTTTGGAAAATGAAATCTAATCCAAAAATGATTGATTTATCATGAAATTATGAACTAGCAACACTGGGATGAGAAATCCTAGAAACAATTGTCAAAGGTCTATACTGCTCGAGAACCGAGATGAAAGACCAGTTATAAAGAATGCAGCCAGTTATTACTATTCGCAGCAGCGATGTGTTGGTGCGTCTGGTCAGAACGAAAGGCGAGCGAGAAGTGACAATGCCTGCTTTGGACTGTGAACCCTTCGGTGCATGCACAACACCAGGACATGGACCAAGTCAGACCAAGCGATTTGGTGTAAGGGCAAACCAGCCTCCTGACTAGCTGAAAACTCTAGGGTATGCGCCAAATATTGTGAATGATCATTGTCGTGAAGAGATATGGCACTGCTGTCCCATTGAAATCATTGTTATAGACTGTTGTATTCAGAAATTACAGTTAACTGTTGAGATGGATCGGCGGTTTTTAAGACTTTCTTTTCATAATCATCTTAGTGTGAGATATCGATCATAGGTCCACCAGGGCGGGGGGTGCACCCCCGTTATCACGAGAGTTTCAATGGTCATTTAATAACTTTCAGGACAAAGGGGGTGCATCTCACCACCACTGTCCTTCCCGCACATCCCCTGCTCACAACTAAACAAACACATCTCTGATGGAGTTGCAACCAAAATAGGACATCAAGTATTGAAAAAGCAGAGGCAAATGGAAGTATGTACTCAGCTATGAACAGTTGTCACAACGTATATAATTTTCATAACAACTTTTATTTAGCGTGCATTTACACTATCGATAAACATACGACCAAACCGGAAGCATTCAGTGGATATTTTTCACACGTTCTGCGCATGCGCACAGCGAGTTGAAAAGTATTGTGAAACCAACGAATAGTTGTGTCCTATGCGCGCCATTATGGTTAACGTTTTGTACATCAAAAAACGTCACGCTCAGGCCCAGTGTACCCGCATCATAGCTGACAACCTCCTGCAGCAGCAACACATCAGCAGAATATCATGGTCAGCCACACGTCCTGAAATTTAAATCCACTTGACCAGACAATCCAGTGATCAACAGCAGGAGCATCGATCTACACAATTGGGATACGATAACAGGTGTCAACCAAGCCAGCGAGCCTGCCCACCCGATCCCGTTAGTCGCCTCTTACGACGATTCTAACCCGGATCTTCACGGGTCTAGATCGCGTGACGCACGTGTGCGGTGAGGTCACCCGCTGAGTTAGACAGACTGTGACACGACTCACTCATATCTGCATTGTGAGATTGATTCGGACCATGCCACGCCATGTAAACAAATATTTGACCAGTCGTGTGAGGAGAACTATTTACTGGTCACGTCAACTCAAACATCAACTGACATAATCCTGGAATCTTGCTGGGTTGTTTACACCCTAAATATACACCGCCAAACTGTTCTGTTAATACATTGTCAAGGTTACACCTAGTTCTTCCATATTGCTCTGCATCCATTACTTCGTTCAACTAGATTCCTACATGTATTTCATCTGGTCAGGCTTGCTGACATGGCTGATGCATGTCATTCAATCCCAATTGTGTAGATCGATGCTCATGCTGTTGATCACTGGATTGTCTGGTCCAGACTCGATTATTTACATGTGATGATGATTTTAAGGGGGGGTTCACTCATTTTGTCCTGGGGAGGTAGAAGGGGTCATCAGTTTTGTACACATGTACTAGCGGCAATAACTGCAGCACAGCGGCTATGCATGGAGTGCACCAATCGATTGATGAAGGCCATTGGCACCTTGAACCACAATCTGAGAAAGGCCAAGCGCAATACATCGGCTGTGTTCAGCCTTGGTATGGCACTAAGATCAAGCAGTGTAAACGTAAGGAAAAGATGGAGGACCAGTTTAAACAGAACATCAGCGCATGTCTGGAGTAATGTGAACACCATGATCGGTCAAGAGAAATCACGTGCTGCTATACCACACAACGAACAGAACTTCACAGAAGAGTTGAATTCATTCTATGCTCGATTCGATAATCTGGACTTCTCTGATACTACCAGCACTCTACTGCGCAATCTGCCCGAACATGAGGTCATCGGATAACGAAGTCATCGAAGTATTTCGCAATATCAACACCTGGAAGTCGGCTGGACCAGACAACTTACACGGGATAGTCTTGAAGGAATGCTGAGAATAACTTGCATCCACGTTCCGAGAACTGTTCCAGCTCTCTACAGAGAGGCAAGTTATTCCTCCTATGTGGAAGCTAGCTGAAGTTATACCTGTACCTAAAAAGAACAAGCCAAAAGAACTCAATGATTACCACCCTGCTGCCCTCACCTCTATTGCTATGAAATGTTTCGAAAGGTTAATTCTGAGACGCCTTCTTACTCAAGTGCGGGATAAACTGGACCCACTACAGTTTGCTTATAGACCAAATCGGG